GGAATAATTCATCGACGCATCCCTTCTCGTCTATGGCTGACTGTCCGCGTCCTGCGCGCATTCGTGTTCATTTCGAAAAATATTATCTTGTCGAAAATATTCTCATCGATCAACGGCATCACTAGTAGCTGTAGCAGTAGCAACGGAAGCGGCAGGTTCCTTCTTCTCGGCAGAAGAGAGGAGCCAGCTAGAAAAGACAGAAAGGTGGAAAGAGACGCGAAGAACGCGGGCTGAAGCGCGGCCGAGTACAGAGGATCGGGAGAGGGAAGGTTGAGAACCTCTATGGGAGCCTGGGTAATAAAATGAGGGCCCCTGCTCTCCCCCGGGGGTGGGGCCCCCTCGATAACCCATATTGTACCCCCCATTCCCTGGCTCTCCCTCCCGGGCTTCGCCCCTCTCGCCGCCGCCCCTGGCCGTATATACTCCGATCGGCCGGAAGAGTTTTGTCCCGGGCCGACCGTCCAGAGAGAAATCTTTTCGCGTCTATCCGACGGTCACCGGCTTATGCGAAATTTCTCAAAAATGATGGCCATCGACGCAGGAATTTTGCCGATTTTTCGATATACACATCGTCCCGATCCGCGATCGTTTTCCCTGGGAAAACGATTTTCGTAAGAAAATCGAGAGGTGGAGCGCGCCGACAATACTTTCCCGCCGGCGTATATACACGATCATATACCACCCCTAGGTCTCCCCACACCCCCCTAACAACAGTAGGGTGGTACAGTCCGGGCTGAGAAGCCGACGGCAACCCCGACGCAGGCAGTACAGCTCGCGCAAAGAGCGACGCCCTGCTCCGTCGGGCGAAAAATGGAAGGGAAAAAAATGCATCGGGTGGGACGGAGAGGAACGCGAGGGAGAAAGAAATTATTGGCGGTGAATCGTTTCTGGGACGAGGATCGGGAACGATTTCGATACTATAATGCAAGGTGTGGGATGTCTCTCTTCGTTTTTAATTCCCTCTCGCCTTGTCTGCCTTTTTGTTTTCCGCTCGCGATATTTTCAAGGATCTTTAATTGACGATATAAAAAGAAATTTCATTTATGTGATACTTGAAATATAGCTATTTTAAATCGGTGCTGTAAATTATTGATTCATTTTTATTTATCATGGTCTGCACGTAGTTTCTTATCGGATTTTTGTTAAGGTATTTTTGAAAATCAATACGAGCCGAGAATATGATATGGACGACAGATGAAATTGATAGAATCTCGCGAAAATTATATCAACTATTGAACCGTCCGAACATTTATTGCTCGCGAATATTGTTAATTAGAGTTATTTTTAAGAATGAACACGATCAATATGCAAATTAGGAAGATGTGAAACAGAATAATAATTACAAAATGTATTTTCATAACTGGTGGTAAATGCATCGCGTTTTGCGTTGACTTCGAATTGGAAAGGCTCAGATCCTGACGCACTCGCTTGTGTCGAGTGTAGATCGTCTGTTTCTTTTTTATTTCATTGTTCTTGAATTTCTCCTAAGCCTTTAAAAATTCTGTTTCTTCTGTTTCATGAACGAGTATAACTATCGGGTTTTGGTTTTAGTAGCCGACGAAATTATATCTGAGTTCATAAAATGTTTGGATCATGGTTATTAAAAATACTATTAGCGAATGTTGCCTAGGTTCAGGGATGCAGCGAGTTCGAAATGAACCTAACTTAATTTATATTTTATTCCAACCATTCAGGCTTTCCTGGTTCGTTTATTACGTCATCCAGGATTTTCACGTTTTTTAGTCCTCCCTTCCGTGTCTTTCTTTTTCTTCGCGTTAGGACTGCTATTCCATCCTGGACAAATTGAATTTAACTCCGGCTAATACGCCGGGCCGAAAGAGCGGCGCGTATTTCGCCGCTTTGTCCTGAGCACATCGCGAAAATCAGCGATGATTTGTGTGTCTCTACGGCGCCACGACGGATATTCCTCTCTCACTCCTTTTTTTTTTCTACGCTCGGCCGAGAGAGGATCGAGATTGAATTTTCTTGCGCGTTGTCGCGCTTTTCTCTCAGCCATCGTTGCGGTTTTTTGTCCGCGTACGCGCGTGTGTATGTAGATATATCCGAGAATCGAAGGACGATCCCTTTTTTCTCAGCGCTACTGCGAAATTTCATTATTAAATGAAAATCGCGTTGGTCTGAACAGAGACGAAAGGGATTGTTGGTTTTTCGAATGTCGAATAATATTTATTGATTTGTCCAATCGTTCACCCTTTCATAAGTTTTATACGTACGCAGAAATAATTATTACTTTCTTTCTCTCTCATTTGATTTAATATTTTAAAACATCGAATGCGTATGTATCAATTAGAAGGTTTGTGCGTCGCTGGCAGGCGTGGGAAAGCTAGAATTAGGTTCCGCAACCAAGGGGTCGATTCTTAAACGCGCGACGATCGATTCTGGCCGCCGGAGAAAGACGACGAATCGCCGCGTTATCGACGCAGAATATTTAACGAACATACACCTTCATTCATAAATCGTACAGCTACTCATTACTTATTGTTCATTAAAAATTCAGACAAATGTTCGAGATAGTAATTAGTAACCATCGGAAAGATTAACAGATTATAATAAATCATGTAGTCCTCGTACAATAAATCATGAACAGTTTCGATGAATTTCTAATTCGAACGAAGGAATTGGAACAATTTCCAATATTAATAATTTTCCATAATTTCATTCTATGCGGCAACTGCTAAACGAAAAAATTGTTTAAACTTTGTACCTTTGCCTATCTCGTTTCCTCGAATAAAAAATTCGAAAATTTTGGACCTGTTTCTTCCAGGCGATTTTGTGTCTATCTATCGATCTGGCTCCCCTGTCTTAGAAACAGCGTCGCTTTGATTAAAAGTTTCCGAAAGTTGGCTTGCAAACTCGCGCAACTTCCTTCCTTTTTTTTTTCTCCCTCCCTCCACGGCCGGGAGACTGGCCACAAAGTTGGTGGAAAATGACGCGGAACTCCGGGGCGACTATCAAAGCCGCGTATTAATAAAATACCGTTTGCCTTTTTTTCTTTGACGAAACTTACAACGTGAATTATGCAAAGACCGGGCGACGCAACGCGCAACGGAAACCTGCCACGCCGTGCCGCGCGCGCCGGTACCAAATTACCAGGGGGTAGATAGATGTCTAGCTAGATGCTAATGATAGACCACTCGTTATTCCGAATAATCATATCGGTTATAATTAGCATTAATACAGCCAGAATCATAGGAATAATAGGGACGGTAGGAACTGACTTGGGTTTCCATGAAATTGGTTACTTACTCGCCGACACCTATTTCCTTTCTCTTGTTCTTAAAACCAATACCAGGTTCGAACTTCTCACGCGTTTGAGATATTACTTAACGTTTGGCGTTCGTCATCCGTTCTCCGCGGACTCCTACCTCCCGTTTTTCGATTCTGTCCCGTCTATTTCGATCATCTCGCGGTGTTACTATCAGATTTGAACTCGTTACGAAGCTGTAAGCTTGCCAGAGATATCAATTCACGCATGAGTGGTAACAGTTTGCTTGATTTGGCACCACAGCTCCTTAAACGACTGAGATATTCGTTTACGATGCGAGCATCGTACTCTCTACCGCAACAAAAATAATGACATAACACTTGTCAATCAGAGTCGTCCTTCATTAATTTAATTAAGACATGCATTTGAACATAATCGACAAGTATTTCCTGTCTCCGCTTTGTTCTAAACGACGTCGAACGATTTCTTAATGGAAAATGAAAATAATTCTTTGGAGGATGCGTCTGATGACGCTTTAAAAAAAAAAGAGAGAAGGGCGAGGCCTGTAGAAAGGACGAAGGCGAAGATAGAAGCGTCCCATACTCACGGTTGAATAACGCATGACTGTCTGGCTTGAAATTATAGCATTTCGCCCCCTTCCCCCTTCCGTTCGCAGAAACTACCCCTTGGCTCTGGGCAACCGCTTGTTCGCTGCGCTTTCATTCAATTATGCATCCAGCTTCACCCACACAACGCGTGTGCCATCCCACCCAGCTCTTATTATTATTTTCCCGCGCTTCGCCGCCTTTTCTTGCCCTCTTCTCGGCCTGAAAACGCGAGCTGCAACCGGATGCCCGACCGTCCGCCTAGATCCCCTGCGTTGATGCTGAAAACTTCACCCCTTTGGCACCAGACTCATCTTTAATCTACATCGCTCCATTGCTTAAACATGCAAAGATCTTTCAAAGAAAGCATTAAACCGGATAATTGTTCGATCGAAGAAAGATACGTTGTTCACAATATTTTACCGCGATTTACACGTCGAGGCAAACACTCGTTTCGATGAATGCATTTCGACGCGAATTCACGTGCCAATACGAGTCGGTACTCCTTGAAAGAGTACGTGTACGTCTACGTGTTCGTGTAGTGACGTATTCAGGTGTGTTTATTGGCACGGGCATAATAATTTAAAGGATGCGGTAGAGCGGGTCGCGCGCGTGTTCCATAGTTCATCGGTTTTTCAGGTGATGAGCTACGGTTACGGCGTAAAAATTTCAAGCGTCCTGGTATCGCCGTCTATAAATATTCATGCACGCGACGAAACGCCAATATATATGTAGAGTAACACGAATATGTTGAAACGGAACATAGTTGTAGAACCTGGTGATGCAGAACTTGCCCGCCGCGCCGTTCAGTCGAACTGCAGACAACTTTTTTTTAATACTATCGGTTATGATAGGAATCGTTGTAATCGTCTAACGCGATCACGCGTAATTCGTCTTACGCTCCGAGATACGCAAACACGTTGACCGCAACCTTTCGTTAGCCGAGCCTTCACCGTGACGAAAACTGATAAACGAGCGTGGAACGCTCGCGGCGGAAGTCAGCGAGTGTCGATGTAATACACAGCCGTGCTCGCGTTACGGATTCCGTTTTGCCCGAGGTAAAACAATGATCGTATCGAACACGATGCCCAGGCTTGCTTCTCCATCCGTCGACGGACGTCCGGAAGCAAGAACCAAATTATAAGTTTCCCTGTATTTTTCTGTTCCAGGAAAGCGACAACCTCTGGTGGGACGCTTTCGCGACTGAGTTCTTCGAGGACGATGCTACCTTAACCCTCACGTTCTGCTTGGAGGATGGTCCCAAGAGATACAGTATGTTCTTTTTAGAATATTAAAGATAAATTCAAAAATTAGAACGTCGAGAACGAAACCTGTCGATCTGTAATCTCAACGTAAAAAAAGGATCAGAGTTAGTTTAATTTTATAGAAATTATAATTAATATCTAATATTATGTAAATAGGGAAAGTATATTTATTTTAAAAAGATTTGAGACGATCGCGCTACTTTTCTTCTGAAATGCATTCTTCTTCACGGTCCATTGTTTTCTATGATAGAGGCGAGATGTGCAACCATGCTCTAAATAATTATGCGCCACCGCAGTACAATTTTGTAGTCGGTAGATTTTAATGTCTTCTTCCTCCGTTCGCGTACATCATTGAATGCACAGTAATAGCGTGATTACGTGTCACATCGCGTTGTCGCCGTCGTTGACAAACGCGAACAACAGTTCTCGATGTAATAAGATGGAACGCGATGCACGTTTGCATAAGAATCATTCATAAACTAGAATAGCGGATGTATAGATTTTCCGATGTCAATTTTACAAAAATAGGATTCACGCGAGATGTTTTCTTCCCTCAGAAATAATGACGTGTACCTATATAACGCATATTCTCATAGAGTACGTGGATTCTTTTGTATCTCCTATACATTTAATTAATGCTATGATGCAAGTCATGAAATTTACTCGGTCAAGTCTCCGTTCGATAGACGTTCAGATTCAGTATCCCTTAATCGTTTTAACACATCGTTTATGCTTATGCTTGCAGCGATAGGTAGGACGTTAATACCTAGGTACTTCCGTTCGATATTCGAGGGCGGAGTGACGGAACTTTACTACAATTTGAAGCACCCGAAGGAGTCATTTCAAAATACCAGCATAACACTTGACTGTGATAATTGCGTTATGGTCACGCATCACGGCAAACCGATGTTCACGAAGGTACGCGGAAAATTCACTTAAGACACTGGACAGTATGAACTTGCTCAGTTTTATTTTTAATCATCTCCCGATACTTCTACTTGCAATATTTATTGCCTACGATCGGTGGGCGGAGATTTTTTTTGTTTCCAAACGCCTTACCGCTAAACACGGATGTTTGTTCTGCAGGTGTGCACGGAAGGTAGATTAATATTGGATTTCACGTTCGACGATCTTATGAGGATAAAGTCGTGGCACATGTCGGTGAGGTCGCACAAGGAACTCGTGCCTAGGAACGTGGTCGGTATGCAACAGGATCCGACGATGCTCGAGCAGCTTAGCAAGAACATCACCAGGCAGGGTATCACCAATTCCACCCTCAATTACCTTAGGGTATGTACAACGCATTGATTCTTTTATCATTTCGACTGTTCTACCGCTCGCCGTTTTATAAAATTTTCCCTGATCATCGTTACGTTGCGATCCGTTGTTCGATTGAACGAAAAGAAATACTGCTGGAATTGTTCAGCGCGGAACCAATCGTTCAGAAATCAGGCGAGGCCGTACTAATGGGATTATTAATTAAAATGAAGTTAAAGTTGCGCAAAATTTCAGACTCCGTCCTGTCTGGCTACGCGCGCGGCCCTGTGTATACGTATATCCCGCGCCGTCGCATCGATTATTTTAATTGTCATCATTATAATGTAAAGGCTGCTGGGAAATTACATGCTTCCGATAATAATGTAAAATGGATTTCAGTTTTATTACGGCAAACATAAACCAAATTTAATTTGTCTCCGTGTTCGAACAGCCGGCCGTAGCGCTCGCGCACTAGTGTTACCGTTGCGCCGCGTTCGCGAATATATTTTAGGAAGTTTATTTTCAACCGGTACACTCGCCGTATACGATAATTTTCATATTAATAGCACGCATAAGTTCCCTGTCGATGTCGCCGTCGGATTAAATAACAGGTCGCATTCATTTTGTTTCTGTATCGGTTATTTTCGTCGTCGTTTCTCATCCGTTTCCCTCTGCCGCGTTTTGAGACCGAAACGTGCCCGTTCGTTTCGAAAATGACGAGAATCGAACGCGGACGCGTACGAGCAATTTCCGAACGGGCGAGGTCGTGAAGTATTGAGGTCGAGCGTTGCCAATCGAGGCGGAATGTAATAACGCTAAACGTTACAATTGTTTCTTGCAGTTATGCGTGATTTTGGAACCGATGCAGGAGCTGATGTCGAGGCACAAAGCGTATGCGTTGTCACCGCGGGACTGTTTGAAGACTACCCTGTTCCAGAAATGGCAGAGGATGGTTGCCCCGCCGGGTAAGAGAGGTAGACGAACAGTTGCTTTACATGAGAAGCACCAGCCAGTGGAGCCAAACGGCCGACCAGTCTACCGCAGGACTCGCTTTCCGATAGTCCGACGACGGATGTTTCACTTGTTTACCGCGTTGAAAATCTCGGTTCCGATTCGATTTCCATGATCAGAATACTCCTGTCCGACCGTGTTCCTCGTTTTTATCAATCATCTCGATAAATCGCATAACTTTTCTCTAGTTGGGATTCTATGCTACAGTGAATACGCGTTCGTTCAGTGCAATTATAACAAAGTTGCAGACGCAAGTGATTACTTTAAAAAAAAATGCTTATCTCGACACTTAGAATGTAGATCACTAAAGGGGCAGCGTTAAAAAGAAACTAGTCACGAAAAGCAATGGCGCTTCTACATATTGGCATGATCATTGTCGGGAGATAACGATTTTTTTCTCTGATTCGCGTTGCGTGCGTCTCGGCGCGCTCTTTATCGCGCGTTTTTATCATGCGTGTACGCGGTGCACCGCGTCTCCTGTTTCACCCTGTTGGTCGTTCCCTGCTCCGATTATCCCCCGTGTTCAAGGTCGGCGAAATCACGGAACCGAGCGCGTTCGTTTTGTAACCCGTAACTAAAGCGGGAATTGTCTGCTCGCTACTCTTCTACTTCGATGCGATGCGTGTTTCTCTGTAAAGATGCGATAAATCTACGTTACGTGAGTGGCAAACTTCTCTAAGTAGCTTTTTTTTTTATCACACGGACAATAGAGAATGCGATCTTGATCGGATCTTTTGTATCTATTTATATGCCTTGTTCATCACCGATGCATGCATGCTTCTATGTGTGAGAGACCTTTGATTTTGGAGAAAGGTCCAAAGCTGGGTAGCGGTCTGAAGTTTCTTAGCGCGCTGCTACATGGCTAGCGTCCCCGGCATCGGGTCAGAGCGTATGTACTTATATCGAACTTGTTCTTTCAGAGTCCCAGCGACCAGCCAGCAAACGAAGAAAGCGGAAGGGAAGCACGTCGGGGCCGGGAAACAACGCGCCGCCCGCACCTAGCAAAAAGAGATCGCCGGGACCTAATTTTTCTCTGGCATCGCAAGTAAGAACCGTTTTGAACAACACTTCAACTTCAAGACGATTTGCAAGGATTATGATCAATATCCGTGACTGATAAAAGTTTTAACGACCTCCCGAATTTCTCGTTATTCCAGGACGTGATGGTCGTTGGTGAACCGTCGTTAATGGGTGGTGACTTTGGTGAAGAGGATGAACGGTTAATTACGAGGCTGGAAAACACGCAGTACGACGCCACGAATAGTCTAGATCCTCACAGTCACGATACACCCGGTGGACCACCTCCGCATCCTCACCAATTCCATTCGGAACCGACACCCGGCAACTCTTGGCCTCCGGACCGCGGTCCTGGACCGCCACAGGGAGGACCCGGGAGTCAGGTAATTGTTTCTATTCACAAGTTTGCCAGGTAATATCTGGACCTTCTGGTGGTTCGAAATAGATCTCTTCGCATTATGCCCAGCCAAATTCAAAGATTCCAATCGTAAAACGATTTGCAGGGAGTTCAAGGTGGACAGGGTGGCGGCGGAGCGGGCGTACAGGGGAGTCAGGACGCCAGTCAGCAGCAACAAGACAAGAAGAGCCCCGCGGTGAGCCAGTGAGGCCAGGAGTCCCCGCGCCCCCCCACCAGGGGGCGACGGGGGCGCAGGCCCAAGAATATGGCTCCCTAGCGGGGCGAGAACCCTAGCCTCCCCGGCGCGTACCTGGCCTCGTCCGGATGTTCGCCCGGCAGGCTGTCGCACATGCATCCGTTGACCTGTCACCAACCCGGCCTCCAGTCGTCCGGGCATCATCACGCGGATCAGCAGGTGCAGCTGGGTCACGCGGCAGCCGCTGCAGCGGCCGCGGTCTCGATGGGGATGGAATCCTCGGATCTGGTCGCGGTCGCCCATTACCAGGCGCAACAGCTACAACGACAATTATTGGCCGAGCAGTCCGGTCCGGGCACGATGCTGCCGCCGGCTGCTCAGTCTACTGGTGGAGGCTTGACGCAGCCGCTACAGCAGCAACCCCAACAAGCTCACTCCTCCCAGGGCCAGGACCCGTTGCAGAGCCTGATGCAGCAGCTGATCTGTTTGCAACAGATCGAGTACTTTCTCGCACAGCGTGGTCACAAGTGATGGTAACGATCAATGGGATCATCGTCGTTCGTGCTATCAGTGGATCTCTCGCTTTGTTGGAAGCAGAGACTCGAGGCGAGAGAGAAACTTCCTCGCGACGATCCGCGTTTTACCTCTTCGTGCTGTGTGTGACCCATGTTTCGAGATACGAGAGCTGTTTGCGAGGCTGATGAGGATTGACGCGCGTTTTCGTTCGAGGTTTCCAGACACACAGGTACACACATAAATATAAATATAATTCTATACGTGGACGTGGCAATGTCCCGCCGGTTTGTTCCTCGAACGGAGAACGGGGAGGCGCGCGGTGTCTCCGAGTTTCTCGATTACACAGGAGACGGCCGATGTATCGTAGCGTGATCGCGTGGGAACGGTTCCGAGACACCGTGGCGAGTAAATATCGTGCGACGGCCTTCGGGTGTAATTCGTGACCGGGAGGCCGGACATCTAGCGTGTGATAAAGAAAATTATGTCAAAAGATGAAAAACAAAGTATATTAAGGAAAAATAAATGAACGACTGTCGGTGATAAATATCTACGATGGAGGAATCTGAAGAAGAATGCTGACAATTGAAACGGTTAATAAAGTTGCACGAAGTGAAAGAGAAGTAAGGAGAGCAAGGAAGATAAAAACGGTACGCGCCACGCACGGCAGAGACGATCGTTCGCTTTGGTGCGAGCTGTGAATGAATCTCTATCCGTCAACAGTATTGATATAATTAATAGAATAAATGAATATAAAAATATTGTAAGAGGTAAAAAAAATATCGTAAGTACGTATTGTGCAAGCGTATGCGAGACAGGAGAGAGAAAGATATAGAGCGTGGTGTGATATATCGAACCGGAGGTCGAGAGGGTGTGGGTGTGTTTTAAGAGACCGGAGACATCTCTTTTTAGATTCGATGATTATAATTTTTCGTTTTTAAGCGTGGAGCCCGATCGAACGCCAACGCACAGGCCCTGGTACGCCCTGTGTAACACAATTTTTCAAAGTTTTATTGTTGCTATTATGACGTCGTCAAGGGAAACAACTGCGAATGGATGAGCGAAAGTATTTTGTGCTCGCCGAATAATAAACGAGACCGAGACAAATGGGAATATAGTGTAATCTGTATTTCAAGCGAAAGTTATAACAAATTGAATTTATTATTTCGTGACTGTTGTCTCGCGACACAGCATAGCGCGTACCCACGTCCAAATTACCTTGATTTCTTTAAAGATAATATAAAAAATCGTTTCGAAAAGCGAGACAATCGTTACAGATATCGCGCGCGACGATTCAATCAATTTATTCACGAAATCGGGGACGTAAGGTTTTTTAGCAAAATGGGTGGGGGGAGGCGGGATAAACAGAAAAAAAGAAGCGAAGTATACACGCAACTTAAGTGCGTACACCATGAATCATTCTAGTGTAAAGTTCCTTGCGCGTTACGTTTGTACACGATGTATATGTTCCTCATTGTATGCTTATACACGTTTGTTCCTATTTCTTTTGTATTAATCTTCGGTGATTCGTTGTGTTCTCTTCTTTCGCTGTTCTTAAGCTCGGGGCATTATGTCGTTCCTTTCTGTTTTAATTCTCCTCACTTTCTTGAATAATAAATGAATGGTTGGTCGCGATCTTCAAAAGCCAACATCCTATCGTCTGTTTCCTCTCTTTCTTTCCAAATTGACGTCGTCGCTTTCCTCTGCTAAATAAAAATTCTGGTGCAAGATAAATTTGTTCCTGATACATCACATTAGCTGTTCTTAGTCCTAAGAAAACGATTGTATCGTAGAATCGAATTATCAGGCATTGATTGTCACCGCGTGGACGACGTTGGTACGAGCGTGCGATCGTAATTTACAATTTCAAATACTTTTGCGTTCTTCATTGTTCAAAATCGCTGCGAGTCTATCTCGTTCGTTGATCGTTCCTCGTTCGATAAAATTTGAGTCATGAGAATTATTCGAACGACGAACGTGAAGCGCGTTCACAGTATCGATTCATCGTTCCATTTCCAATTTTTTTTTTTTGAAGGAAATGAAACGAATCGACCTTTTGACGGATTCACAAGCGAGACTAGCGTAAATTTTCAGCCGATTTCAAAATATCGAAACGCATCACAATGCTTATTTCTAAGGACACTCCCATTTAACTTTTGTAAAATAATTTCGTAATCTGGTGACAATTTACGCTGGAACGGTTCCATCGATTGTACTCTGATAGTAATGCGCTACATGGATGGTGACATAGGGAAAGGGCACGAACGTCGGCGTTTCATCACGTCCATGAACTCTGCGCTTATTTCGGGTGGTTCCACTCTGAGATGCACGCCGAGAAAGGAAGCAAATGCGGCGAGGAAAAGAAATAGCGAACGATAGAAACTTTTTCCGAAATATGTACAAAGATCATCGTATACATGCGTCATACACAACATACATACATGTACACATGCCGGAGAACGAGCGATCGGTTCTCTCTCTCCGTTCCCGTTTTCGTTTTTTATTTGTCAAAGGAAGGGGAGGTCTGACGAAACGACTGACGTTCACAACTCTGATCGCTCTTGTTGTTTCACGAAATCGACAAGAACGAAGAAGAAGCAGTCGTTGGGAAGGAAACGAGTGGACCGATCGAATTTAAACAACACACGTACACACGTTCAGAGATCACAGGACACACTTACGACTACAAATCATTGAATTTAGATAGTTAAGCTACGCGTGAAGCCAGTACAGTCCCACGGCGTGAGAGTGTGCGAACAACATAAAAAATCAATTGTGGATAGGAGAAGATGGAGAAACGAGAGAGAAAAACGACGAGGATGTGTTTCTTAAGCGGAGAGTCACGGTATGCCTGACACAGCTGCGATTGTTTTCTCTCGATTCGAAGGGGGAAAGAATGGCCAGATAAACGAGTACATGCGCGAGAATGATCATATGCGAATGTGAGTGCGAGATAGACATTGATAAAAGCGTATGAGAGAGAGAGAGAGAGAGAGAGAAAGCAGGATTGAAAAGAGTGCGAACGACTATTTCGACACGAGCATGCGGTGGGTTTTAGGATAAATGATCTATTGACAAATGTTGTATATTATTACGAATTATAATGACACTATTATATAATTAATTAATTAACTAATTAATTAATTATTATACCCTAATAACGTGAATTGAATTTAAAAGAGAAGTGGATGAACGACAGAAAAAAAGCGAGAGGAATGAAAGAATGCACGAGAACGCGAAGGAAAAAGTAATAGGAAGAATCTATGAAAATGAAACAAATTTTAATTGTTAGCGAAGCACCACACGGGGCCAGAGGATAACACAGCCCGCGGTTGCGGGAAGTATCTGATACGAGATACGGGTCAGATCGGAGTTAGCCCTCGCCTGTGTCACGAAACGAACGAGAAAGATACGTTAAAGAAATCGTATTAAAAAAAAAGTCGAAACGAGGAAGTGTTTCTGGCGCTAGCGAGACCGGAAGGACCGAAAACGCTTTTGTCAACGAGAAGTGCATCGACCAATTTTCCAACGAAAAGAAAATAAAAAAAAAAGGAATCCTTTCTCTTCTGTCGAGTTTCTCTCGCTTTCGTACCGCGATCACTTACAAAACGTGAAAACCTGTACATTCTTCGACTTTGTAAATTTTTTCTGCTAGTAAACGAATTCGGATTTTACGCACCTGTACTTGTTCATTGACATACATATCAGTCCATATTTATCGTTTTGTTTTTTAATCGAAATCTTGGCGTTGCATTCTGTTTCGTTTCGTAAGCCAATATTAATGTCTTATTTCTGAAGTGATGCCATGGATCTTCAGTGGTCTTGCACACAGTCGTTTTCTTTTAAGGGAGATAGTAGTCGAATAAAATTAACGGTCTCAGTAGAGATAAATCAAACGGTTCTTCGATACGAGCTTCGTTTCAATCCGCGAGGATTAACTTTTTTGGAAAGAGGAAAAGAAGATTAACTTTTCTCCTTCGTAATCTCTTTTAATTTAGTTAATTGCAGAATTCTGCAGGTTCTCTTTATACTTTTAGTCAGATTGTAATTTTTGTGAAATTTTTAATCCGCATAGAGTTATTGAACCACAGAAACGAATGAATTTTTTTGTTAGTTTAATATTCTATTTAAAAATCTTCCATCTCCAGTATATTTTTTCTCGTAAAAATTAAACAGAATAATTTTCTTCGTAAGAACAGTCATTGCTGATCAGAGATGAAAAGTAAAGAGGATCGTTCTCCTTTCCGTCCACGGCAATTGTACAGTTACACGGAACAGAAGATGGCTTCGGTCCTAAGCCAGAATGGTCCCAAGTAGATTTTGGCTCAGGGATAACAGGCGAAGGTATATTCGTAACTCGAAAGCGTTATTTACGGCCTTTGGACTGAGCTGTGATTAAGTTCACGAAAACCCCAATTACGAAGATTAAGTCGAGGTCCTTTGCCCTCGTCATATTTCAGTCCTTCACCCCTCATTATTTTTAAATATTGCATATAATTTATAACATCATAATTTATGAGTGTCACCATCTTTTAAAATCATAAACCTAGTTGTGAAACGCGTCTTCTTATTGGTCGCAAAAAATATTTCCAGCCCCTCGCCTTCTGTAGTTCTATTTTCACTTGGGAATTGAGGGACACATCTCTCAGGATTTTCTTGGAAGGTCTGAGTAATAAAATATGAGCACCATATAATTAATGAATAATTTGTTTTACGAGTGAGGAAGATACCGATACATATTTATTGAAAATGGCTCGAGGGATGAACGAGATGCGAAAGAGATGACGAAAGAAAGCTTGTACATACATATAATATGTAGAGAGAGTGGCGTCGCGGACCCGGGTTTGTTCATCTGTAAATACGCTGTCCCCTGAATTTGACGCTAAATAAATCTCTGTGCCTGTGTGGTCGGATGTGTGAAAGATGATTCTCTGGATCACAGGCGCGTCGCGAGCCAATCGCCAATATCGGACCAGTGTTGCGAGCGATTGTTGCGCGTCGATTCGATTATTATTATAGTTGTATAAAAGTGAAGAAGAATATTATAGCGAATTAGGGGACGATTTAATAAAAAATGGAAACGCGATTCAAGGAATAATAATAATAATAATTACGGTTCCAACCCTCAGTGGACATGGGCCAGCGAGCATGGGTATATTATATTAATATACGTTCAGATGTTGGCCCATCGCCATGACCAATGAAGTAATAAAATTGAAGGAAGACAAGAACGAAAGAGAGAAAAAAAATGAGAAAAAAAAAAGAATTGTCATCTAATTACATTTTTACGCACTCCAAATTTTTATCCTCGTCATTTGTATCATAGCGACATGTGTTTAAAAAAAAGAATCTACATTATATGTATGTAATCAAAATTGTAACTGACAAAACGTTAATAAAAAAATGATATTCGAATTGGCGTTCACGATGCTTTCGACTAAAACTGACAAGTTATTACAAATAGAAAATTGAAAGACGCTACGAGCTTTGAATCTAGAGATTGTACATTAGAAGAAAAAGTATCGTTCATGAAATGACAGTCTAGTATTACAAATGTACAAAATTAAAATTCGGCGCGAGTTATTGGAACCACGCGAAGTAGTAGAAACCAACATTTGGTCAGACGGTCAGACGCTTCCACGAAGGATAACGACGCTGCGCTGTGCAGGAGCTAATCCAGGCAATAGGTAAGTTTCCATTGATAACTTTAATGTTACTTTTGTCTTTACATGGTTCTCGCAATATCAAATCACCACAGTTGAAATTTTACAATACATGCTAATAATCTCCGAAGCCACACATCGATCGCAATTCATTTACTTCACAAACATTGGGTTTGAACATATGTAATCATATTTAGAACATCCATTAATCATCTAAATTGACCTCATCCATTCCACTTTGTACTTATCTCTATTTCCTTACGGTTTAGTCTGAACATTTAATTGTTAAACAAAGAAATCGAAAGATTGCCAGCAGATGAGAAAGTACCACGAACCGTACGTTGATAACATTTCGCTAGGCGTACGTCGCTTACAGCTTGCTGGTAAAGTTGGATGCGCTTCAATTATGCTTCTCACGATAGTTTATTGCAAAAGATTATTTTATTGTGGATCCAACTGTTATGTTATGTTCTTCTCAGAGTAACGGAAAATGTGTGAAATATGTGAATGTTATTTAAAAATCTTTAAACATACTTCGACAACCGCTCCCTATCGACTTACGGGTGGCACTGTCGCCCCCCGAACGTTGCTCTTTCTCTTATTACTCCCACGAGGGTAGTAGGGGGTGTATCCCGAGTATAAAAGCAGGAGCAATGCGTGGCGGCAGCAGTATCACCGGCAACTCGGCATCGGGTGGTTGTTAAGATTGTAGCGTCTCTAGATTCTTGTCTAAAAGATTCGAGGATTTTAGACTATTCCAAGTAGGCGTGACCCTATTACTGCGTATGCGCGGTTAATTTATATTCGGAATTTCAAAAACGTATTCATTTTAACTAAAATGATTTATTTCCTTACAAACAATAATTAAATCGAGAATAACAAATAATTGTTCATTTCTCTGAATCGATTATTACGATTAAGCACTAAATTTAGCACCCTTAAATTCACCAACGACATGAACAAAAGAGTAACATGCAGAATCGAAGGGATTGCACGTACAACAATCGATCCGGACTTCACATGTACAATCGTTTCCTACGAAGTTCAACGCTGGACAATCTCCCATCTACGTTTGGTCCACTTCTAGGTGAAGAGCTGTCTGACTAAAATCAGCGTTCCCGTGTTACGACCCGTCTTTACGATACTTGGATAACTTATTCTTCTCACAATCGTGGACGAGATAAACTATCCTGATTTCAGTAAAATATTTCAGCTGCATTGTGAAGAAGGATGCTATAAAAGAAACAGTAGCCAATCATGAAAGAAATACTGTAGGATTTTTTTTAGAGATCCGGTTGGATGCACAAGGAGTGAACAAATTGCAGAAATCCACTCGATTACAAGACTCCTCTCGTTTCTTATTCTAAAAAGTAGTCTACAATGACAACGGTATAAGAATCTGTACAATATTTACATTCACGCGGGTTTACATTCACGGTCCACTATTTCTGTCAACTCTGCTCATTTGTACATGAAACTAACTGTCAGAAAGCAGCACAGTCAAATCGGACGCTTGACTCCTGGTGTCCGAAGGAGTGTCCGGAGTATCGGGCACCACTAAAGGCTCCGTTTGGTACCTATCCATTCTTCTGCAAGGGTTCACAATAACTTTCGATCCCGTGCACAGTTTATCGGCCTGAACAGTCTTTCTCCAAGTCGGCCCACGCATAGATTCACGGTTGTTGCATTTTCTTCGAGCGGACGAGGAACTGGCAGAACGATCCCTGTCGAAGAACATGAAAATACGCCGCCAACTACTCATCTCTGCCTTCGAAGTATTTTCCTTCTCTTCTCGATTTTCTTGCCTGGCCGGGTACTCTTTAGAACCGTCGCTGCCGTTCCCGCATAATTGTTCCACCTCGTTCGACGTCCGTTCCTCGGAGCTGGAGTCGTGCGTGTCTCTGGCTAGAAGTCGGGAAATTCGCGCGAGGAATGCATTTCCCTCACCGGACGATTCCTTCTTCCGTTCCGGTGATACGATCCTCTTCATCGTCTCGACGATTCTCTTCTTTAACCATGAAATATCCATCGACCGTATCTTTCGCGCAGACGGGTCGTCCGCCTCGGAATTCGGACGGGTTTGATCTCCGGCGTTGGAGCGTATTTTCACTCGGCTGTTGCGTCGTTTTTGCACAAATCTTACAACGAACGCCTGCAACAAAAACGATACGGTTGCAGTGAAAATAGAAGTCAATTCTTGAATATAAAATATTTAAATTCTCGTGTACTTTTAAATAGGATATATGAAATTATTTTGGAAGTCAATTTTATAGAGTTTGTCGAGAGAAATGTCCAGGCACCAATTTATAAATTGCTTTTTTTTTTTAACCGTCCAATAAAAATACGATGCAAATTTGTACGTTCGGATAGAAAAATAATTTTGAAACGGTACTCGCTGGAAATATTTTTCAGTTAAAATATAGCGGATCTTTTAATTTCGTCGAGAATTGCATAAATCGTTTGAGGCTCGCGTTACTGTCGCCACTTTAATCCTATCTCCGGATGAATTTCCGGCCGCTTTGACGTCGGCTCGCAGCTCGTAGGAAGTTTGTCGACTCGCGCGGAATCGAATTTACAATATCCTTTGCTTTTCGACACCTTCCGGGGCTTAATTGCCATCCGGTAACACGATCGCGGGAAAATTTAAGTCAGCGCGACTCGTGCGACATTTTTCGACCCGCCTTTTTTCACCCGTTTCATATTTTAATTCGAACGGTGTTTGGATATACCAAAGAGAACTAATTAAGAGCGTTGGGGCACACCCGGAAAAAATGAATTTTCCCAGCGCGAACACGTAATTTATTTCGGCTCGCTTCCATATTTACTATATTGCGAGCGTGTAAAACGAATTCCTCGTTTTTTAAATTTAATTATGTGTTCTCGCGTCCGAATTAAACAGGCTGACCGACTCTTCCGTCACTCGATTGTGTTAAATATTACAGAAATATTCCCGAAACGAGAAACAGCCGGGTAATTGAATCGTACTTTTTCAATGTGCAGCTCGACTATATGTTTCCGCGCGCCGACAATTAATGAACGGGATCCTCGTTTTTCTACAATTCTTAATTGACAGAACACGTAATTGCTTTCACCTGTACACATATTCGATACAACAGTGCCGTGTTTTTGTGACGCTTGTCCATTGCACGAAATAGATATTTTCAACTCGATGGTGACATTCCATTTTGATATTCAGAGTTTACCCCGAGGAGAAAAGGAGAATCAGTTCGAATTGATACGTACCATGATTGTGAGTAGAACGAGTGTCAGGATCGCGATTATGTACCAATGATGAACCATCCATCGTTGAAAAGTCGCTAGACTGGCATCTGATAGAAGAAGCCTCCTGAGAGTCGCCAATGGTCCACTAGGATCCACCTGAAACAACAATTATCACGTTGCATAACAGAAGCAATCGAGCCGACGCGTGCTGTTCCCTTTTCGCAGCTGTGCGATTCTCGTCGGAGAAAAACCAGTGCGTCGGAACGAAAGTCATCCCGTGGAGTAGAGGATATTACCTCTCGACATCTCTGGAAAACGTCGCAATAGCCATTGTAATCGTTGCACGGCGTCCCTGGCTTCGACAGCATGTCGGGGATATCGTAAGGCGCTGAATTCCATACGAACGACGATCTGCAAAGAGACGCGTTCTGAATGACGTCTGGTTTACTCGATCTCCTTCGACGTCTACTTAACAATCCGCATCTCACGACTCTGAATCGCTTTACGACTCGACGTTCGTCGTAAACGTTCATCCAAAGGCATCGAACAGTGTCATAAATATAAAACCAATCGAAATGATTTCCTCATGAAAATCAAACGTCCCGTTACAAGTCACAAATTTTTTTTACATATTAAAAACATGAAGTTGATCGGTTTTATAATTACGAAACGAGAGTGGAAGAGTGGAAGAGAGGTGATTATCCAAAATGATCGTATCTCACAGGCACGGTTGATCCTCTCCCGGCAGTTTACAGCAGAGTTCGCAGCTCTTGGTCGGTGGATCGTCGGGACCAGCGATGCACTGACAGGATTCCAAACCGTAAGCCAGGCAAATGCTGCCGGTGCATTCCTGGAAGCAATGCGAGGGACCCGATAAAGTGTCAGCCTACTCGCATAAACCCCTAAATACGAGGTAATTTCCACGCGGGGTCACCGAAGACAGATAAGCGCGTGCTAAGACTAGAACGATATTCTCTTCTTAAAGGATAGCCTTGTTCGCACTTGTGCCGCGCTCGAAACTGCAATTGCACGCGCGTTACAACTAAGAAAGTAATCTCGGACGTTATAATCCGTGTTTGCCTACGAAGTGAATACTGCGAGTTCTCTGACTCAGCTTTCCGGCATTCTTGATCTAGCCATTGTCTGCCCGTATTTATTACAATTTTATTAATAAGATCTCCAAGAATCATGAAGAAATTAGTTTTAAAACCCGTTTCTCCTATTTTCTAGATTGCTTCATTATTCTGTTTCCAAATGCATATTTTTAGACAGTTGAAGTCTTGTTCTGGGGATTCCGGTCCACGTTTTGATTTGATAGAGGGAATCTCCAGATTTCTTGACAGATGAATACGCTTTCGCGGGTTGAAGGGTATTTCATTCAGACTGTGCGTTTTGCACGGTGCAGCCTTAAATCTACTCCCGAGACCCCGGAGCCTCGGCGAGGAAAAGGAAAAAGGCCGCGTAAGAAAATGCCACGCGTACATTTCGAAATAGCTCCCCGGTGGATTTTTCCACGGTAAGAAGAAGAAGAAGAAGAAGAACCGATTCGTAAGCTCCCCAGACGCGAACGAAGCGGTTCCGAAGCTTCACGGATTTCCTTTCGCGCCCCGAACTCGTCGACTAATGGAAATTTAAATGCGGATCTTGTTAGAAGAAAAGTAACTGTTCCCATAACGCTTGTTTGCTTCCCGCAGCGTTGAAAATACTATATTGTTCGTCGCGAAAATATATATATATTTAACGTTAGCACCGTTCGATTTCGGTTTCTTTTAATTCTCGTATCGTACGCAGCCACTTCTCGGAGTATGGCTCGCAATGAATAAGTAACTAGACAAGCGGGACAGTTTTATACACCGGGAAATCGTAAATTTGTGGGTAATTCCGTCCGCCATCGCCTCGCAACAGCTACAACGCTTTCATTTTCATCGCGGCCGTAATTTAAACGTAACGGCGTTCGTATATTTCGTCGAAACAAGCAACCCCCACACCCAGTCTCCCTTTTACCTAACAAAGACACTTTGTACCTCGCACAGAGGCGATAGCCGTGTTTTTACTTATTGTACATTAGTTTCGTTTTTCTATTGAAAGCTTTTTGCCGGCGGTGGTATCAGAAAATCGTAAGATACGGCAAACGGGATCTCGAGAAGAAGGGGTTGTCACGTGAAGCTTAAAAAAGGACAGAGGGAGGGAACTTACCCCCATGTAGCAGACGAACTCCTCGTTGCATATGGTCTTGTTAGGCTTGTTGATGGACGGCGGACATTGGGGACCGCGACCGTCGCAGAAGCTCGCATCCCTGCAGCCATTATCATTCCTGCACTTGTCGCCGTTTCGCAAAGTGCAGCCGGATGTACAGCACGGACCCTGGAATGCAAGATGAATAAACGTTTATTTACTAGAACGATATTATGTTTCACTAAAACACGCGTTAAATATTTTTTATAAAACATTATGGACGACATTTTATCGGACTGAGATCCAGGCGCTCGATTCGTTTTTAGGTCGCGGGAAAATATACGACAGGGGTTGCTGTTAGCGCGATGGATGTATCAGTTTGAAAAGAAGAACGTTCTTTCACAGTGACGGGTTTCAAGGTCCGCATCGTGGGCGCATTGTCCACGCTAAGTTTTCGGAGCTTGAAAGCCTCCTCTGTCTCCCTTTTCGTCAGATCGTACGAATAATGGCGCGTCGCCGTATCCGAAGAATAAGCATTAACGTGCACCATCGCTCAAGCATGTCATAATGAAACGAATAAATTTCACCAGTGAATAGCAGCACACGTAGACATAAAAATCTAGCATCAATGCGTTTTTAAAAAATGTTATTGGATCGTCCTCCCCTTTCACCGAGGAAGCAACGGGGTCTGAAGACTATTAAATTCGCTTACGGTGCCGCAGCGTCGAATCGAGCGAAGAGAAACAGATGCGATAACCGCGCTGCGGCAATTTCCTGGCCTTCGATTTTATAATTGCCCGGCTTTGTTCGAGCGGAAATTCATGATTCACGGACCTTCCGCACCGAGCGTACGCTGATCTTTTTTTTCAAGCGGATCTACTCGCAATTCACCGGGGAGGGGGAGTTATCGGACGCTTTGTCGAGGCGTTAATTTATCTCGCCACGTGTCGATGATAATGCGCTCGCTGGTACTCGGCTGCGTTCCGGTTTCGCCGGTATTGTGCGCGCAACGCGGAACAATATCACGATTTTTCGAGCGATTTTCCGGGACAGAACAATGGGCAACATCGCGGAGTCATTGTGGAACGCGATATCAAGACTTCTTTCTTTTCGTTTCCCCTATTTTCTCCGTGCTCCACAATTTGTTTTCGCCTCCATCCTCGCAACGGCGTCGCATCATTTTCGTTTTTTAGTCATTTTCAGAATTTGTTGCTCGTTCGCTTTCCTTTCTTCATTTTTTTTTTTTTAAATCCATTCACCGAGTTGCCGAAATAAGGCCGCGAAACGTTTGTATTTGTTTTCGCTCTTCTATACATTGCATTTCGCCGCGCGATATGTTCGTCTTTTTATGCAATACAGAAGGACAATGGAATGACCGCGAGGCAAACTTCTGGGAGGCGAAAATGAAAAATTTAACGTAGTTCTAAACCATGGGACCACGGATTTCTATGCAAAATAAAATACTCGTCAAATTGGAAAACGTAATCATCTGCGTTGACGTGTTTTCCTTCCCAAAAATAATAATCTCTATTGTGCCGAATATTTTTGCACGCTGCATGCATTTCCTACTTTTTGCACATTCAATAGTTCTACAAATACATCAAACTTCCAGTCTAGTAATCTACTAATGACAAATTGTCTACTGACAGAAATGGTAGCGTAATAACAATTGTTCTGCTGAGATAGAGGCGCGAACTCTGCTCATTCGTTGTTTACCACGTAGGAAATCCACTTTTGGGGCATACCTACACAGGATAATGAATATTTATGGAATGCGGGTAGAAGTTTCAACTTATTCGACGCGACCCGCGCAAACACGCCGGGGAAGGGAAGACGAGCGGGAGCGTACAGACACCAAAAACAGTGATTTCGCGCTTCGGGAAAACTTGGCCGCTGTTTTTCTTTTGTATCCGACAGGGAGACGAATCAGGGTCCATAAATATTCAGGGGAGGCGAGTTCATCGGATATCAAGCGCAGCCATGAAACCATGCGCATTAGGAAAGTTTCACCGGAAACATCGTCGGCGAACGGGAAAGACGCCAAGCTTTTTCCGAGAAGCATTACGGAAGCATTTGGCGATTAAACAGTACATTAATGACGTTGTCCGCGCTTGGGATCGCATTTCCTCGACTCTTCGCCAGGCTCGAGCCTTCCATCTGCGAAATTGCTGTATCTGCCTCGCAATTACGTCCCAGCACTCGGGCACGTGAAGAGGATTTAAGTGCCGACGCGTTTTTCAAAATTACTATGTATTAAAAGAATATAGAAGTAGAACTCTTAACGGATGTTTTAGGTAGCAATAGAACTGATCCAATATTCGTCTACGAATATTCTATTCCGTATCTTACGGAACAATCGTACACGGAATCGAAACTTTCTATTCACTAGAACAGGAGAGTCGATTTCACGTTACAGCCTCGGTTTGCCAGAAGAACTTAGCGTCTTGTTTCGCGAGAAACACGTCTCAGGAAAATAGTGGGAGGGTGAGAGAGAGAGAGATGGAGAGTGAATTTCGTCGCGCGACAATTTTCGGTTTAATTAAATCGACGGGGGATCCGCTGGGAGAAGGGCAACGTTTAAGCGAATCGAATGATTTTCGCTTAACGTGCAGATAAGAACGATCCACGGTTTGAATATCTGATAGAAGGGAAACCCGTGGGACCAGCAGCCGATGCTCGGAAAATAAGGTTCCCCTCCCGTCCCAGCTTGTACTTTCGCCCCGGTCTGATACGTTTTCCAGTTCAACGAATTGGCACGGAAAGAAGCGGAAGAAATTCGATGCCGATGCGCGCTGGATGTATTCTACGGACTGTGCATATATCAGAAAATAAATAACCCGATGGAGAAGTGCATCCCCCTTCAACCCCCGGCGGTCTGTCCGTGTACGTGTGTGGATAATATTCTACTGGGCGAGTGGGAAATCCAAAGTCCTGCACAATTCACTCCCGACTTCCTTCCCGCATTCCTTCCGACCGAATGGCAATGTAATTTACGATATCAAGATTGAAGAAAGCGTCAGAACTCTGTAGATGAAGAGATTTATCTCGCAAATATTTTTCCTTCTTTCAAAAAAGAATCTAAGCGCTCATATCAATGCTAATATTGCATCTATCGTACAATAAGCAAGTAGATGATCACGTATCCGACGATGAAAGTTCAAAAACTTCTCAATTATAGGAATGATTTGCAATTTCCTTTAGAATTTCCCTGCAATTTCCCTGAAAGGGAGAGTCACCGTCGTTTAATCGGCGACATTTTATCTAGGGATAGGGGAGGCATGCCTCAATTCCAGGTTGGCGATTAACGTTTTCAATCAGAGACGGATAAGGACTTATCTCTAAACGAAGCTGCAATTCGCCCCAGGGAAGATTTAGAACCGGTCTTTAAATGCCTCAGCGACGTCAAGAGTCTCGCCGGGCCTTTTATTTAGGCTCCGGTCATTCTTAATTGGAAACGATAAGACGTATTCGATGCCGTGCCGCTACCCGGGGTTACAATTTTGAGAAGATTAAGAGAGCCTTCGTAGAAAATTTAAATTGCCCCTAGCGAAATCTGCTCGACGATCTCTTCATCAACCCTTTCATCCTCGAACTGTGTTTGCGTAATCGCACCGGTTGTTAATTCGCTACGATACCAGTTTTATCTGCTACACTTAAAACTGAACTCAATTTCCAGAGATGCTACGTTAACAGCTGAGTATTTAAAGACAGACAATCTTCCACGTGCCTATCTTCTACGTTACCTTAGAATACATAATACTTTAGAGAATAATGCCTAACGCTTTTAGAAGTTATTGCGATCGAACCAGTAAACAGCGCACTGATCTTGAACGATAGTTCTATTTGTACCATGTACAGCTAAGTGAATTTTGAGAGTGGCGCCTGTTGTCACCGGGAAATCCAAATTCCACTCGACGCAGACGAAGAGCCGCACGGGTTTGCAGTGCGAACACGTAATAATAGAAACCCGAGTGGGGATCTCGGTCTTCGGACCGCGCCCGAAACGTAATAACACGCTCTGAAACGAATCAATTTATCGAATTTCAATACTTTCAATAGGAAGAATTCTCTGCTGCTCTCGAAGCTGGAAGCGGATGGCGTGACAATGCTGGGAAATCACGGACGTCCGTCGCCGTCCCGGAGTAATAATTGCCGCTGCGGATGTAGCGAAATACCACTACCAGGCCACTAACGAAACGATTTACAAATCATTATTCCTGATTGAATTTCTTATAAAGTTACGTTCCTCGAAGGAATTAGAACGCTTGTCTTTTAAATGATCATGTCGCCGTACGTGACTCAGAGCAAGTATGAATGAACCGAAACCGCAGAAGTTCGCTGGGAACTATGCAATAAGCAATCACAATGGAATAGAACTTTCGTGACTAGAAGCAGAGAAGACTCCTTAGAACGTCGTTTGGTTCATCTCGATTCAACTTCTGGTTCCGGAGATATCGCTGTGTAAAGATAATCGTATGTTTTCGCCGCTGCTATTACTATCCTTGCTATATGGCTTGGCCTTCTTTCTCGCACTTTGACCCAGTTACTGGCTCACAGTTGCACTAGCTCCCACCATTCTCAGTCTAGACACCTGCTACGCGTCTCTAAGAAAATAACCCTTTCTTTCTGGGAACAGAAACAAACCGAGTCTACCGGGAGGATTCCGCGCTGGCCACGTAAACGACGAAACTTTGGGAGCTCATATCTCCGAAACAGGTATGAACCAAAAGCTATTTTATCTCAGCGCTTTTTATGTATCGAGTGGAATTTCAATGCATGTTTGATTGTCTTAGAAGTAAAAATATTGATCCACTGTAACCGATTTAATTCTTCGTATCTACAACGTCGTGAAATATCTGTTTGAAGAGGGTAAAGGTGAATATTCTTTCGAAGCATTGAACGTCGTTGCTAGTAAATTATCTGGATCGTCGCACCTCGGAGAGCGACACCGACATTGTCGTTACACCGCGGAGCACTTTAATGAATATACGATGCAAGCGTTGAACGTCTGTGGGAGGAATGATCCAGCTATCTCGGGAGATCGGATCCTTCAGGCGGTAATGCGACTTCCTCCAATAGAACGAATCCCTCGCGTTCTATTTTCAAAGCACGGGCGCGCGCGCGCGCACACATAGTGCCGCGACTGTATCCACGTTTCAACCGTGACACCTGCATACATGCAAGTGGTTCATTTCCCTTCAGAACCTTTTCCTTTGCGGCGTCGCAATGCCTTATCCTTAGTGTCGTCATCGTTCTCAAAGAAGCCGAGACACCCATCGAGAATATCGGCGAACATCCATTCCTGCATTCCCTTGACGATCCCCCTGTTTCGTTCGTTTCGCATTATCTCGCGGAGCGGCAGAGACGGTGTTCCGTTAGACCTAGCCGAGCGAACACTTTGGAAACTTTGGAACAGGTGAGAATGGTCGTGGCGCGAGGAGTACAATGTCCCTCTTCCCGATAAGGAATGTTTTAGTGGGTTCCAACAACGATGTTAAAGGAAAACTTTCCGACTACTACTTGCTAAACGTCGTTGATCATTTTAATTCGCTGGTTAACAATTAATTCAAGACCCTGTATTTCACTTCATGAAATAACAGGTCTTGTTATTCTTCGCCGACAAGGAATTCTTTATGAAAATGAAACAAATTTAATTTGTCAATTAATAATTCTTAGACTGAAGATTCTGTTCGAAAAATAATGCGCTCCCGTTTCCGCACTAGTTTCATGTCTGGAATCCCGCAAACATCCCCTTCACCCTTTTATCTTTCTAGTACCCGGGTTGTTTTCCTTTGCTTCGACTATTTATCTTTCCTCTTGTTCCGTCCCCCTGTTTTCTTTCCACGGCTAGCACAGCTCGCCGTCTTTCACCACCCACACCTTTTTCTCTTCCCCACACGCCGCGGTCCACTCCTTCTCCCATCAGTCTCTCGACCTTCCTACACCTTCTTCGTTATCTTTCTCAATTTTTTCTCCTCTCTCCACCCTCTTACGCTTAATGTCCACAGCTTGCGCGTTTCTTCGCCCCACACCCGCTCCCATCTGTCTGTTTCTTTCTTACCCCCAACCCAGTCCTGTGTTTATTGCCCCTCGCTGTTCAACGCGACGCGTTTCGACGGCCTCGAGAGGCAGGCAAAGGCGTTGGCCATTCGTCTACGTCTCCATGGATCTACGTATTTTGCATCCGGCACTTTTCTCCCAAGATGCACCACCTAATGCATCGACTTCCGACACTCGTACCCTTCTTTCCCCCATTCACGCTTCGCCGAACGCCTAAAACTTCCCGTCATTCCCCACGCTGATCGTTTCAACCATTTTACATCATAGCGGCATCGAACCGTGATAGAAAAGAACTGTCTGTCGAACGAGTTTCTATAAATACGAGTTGAGAAATCCTGCCGAACATTCGCGAGCAATTAAACTTTGAAATGGCCGTGGAGAAAAATACTACCGAAATTCCGGCTGAATACGAATGAAACGAAGCAGTCGAAGAATTACATCCTGTCCGCGGTCATAATTAGGGAGAAAAAAACACGTGAAAAAACCGGTGAAAATTGTCAGTCTGGTCGAACAATACCGGCGTAATTCCTTTTCGACGGCGATTGAAAACCTAATTCACTACCGCTCTCGCGGGCTGCCCAATTTCCTCGTTTCAGCATTAAGTAATCCGTGTGAAAAGAAATAGAGAACCGTTATCAAACGAGCAAGAAAAATAAAGAACACATGGCGATACGGTTCGTTTAAATGTAATTCTAAACGATTTTTTACATAATTTTAAAAACAATGTGGCTCTTAAAAAATTGCAGAAGAAAACGAGACATTTAAAGAGAAATTGGTGGATTTGGATCAATGGCAGACACGGTTCCAGTTTGATTAATTAGTCCATTTTCCCTAGGGTACTGGAAACGACGACAAGGGCGACGACGACGGCTGGGTACGTCGACTAACATTGAAAATTAAACTCATCCCCGGTGTGTTTGCACCCCGTCGACAATAACGCACAACGTATCACCGGGGAAACTAGGGTGCTCCGGCTCCGAACATACCTAGAAACTAATTCCCCGCTTGGAGCTCTTCCGTGGTCGTCCGTGACCAGGAAGTTTCTTCGAGCGCGAAGAATCGTACATGTACGAGATTGCAGTTTCCAACACGATCTTCCATCCACGCTGCGCCGTCCCAGCTCGTCGGTAACGTCATCGTGAAAAGTGCTCGTTTTCGCCATGAAATGACCTATATTCAGGACTATTATGCTTCTATTTTTCTCGATACGATCTCAATCCGGCTTATTTTTCCACGCAATAGTCTGGATTAATTATTTCTCAGAATAAATAGAAGTTACTCGTATTATTATACTTCGTGCATTTCCCACGATTTTATCTAAAATTATTCTGACTTTGTCTTGGGAAATATTTTAGAATTAGTCATCCGTGTAAAGAAAATATCTCAGCTTTAATTTCTGTAATGGTATTAACATTAACACAGCACAGTTGGCGCTGAAATCAACGCTTAAGAGACAATATCCGCCTTCAAGTTTCATCATTATGCGTTCGATTTCGAAATGCTCGCGTAAGCTCGCAAGGAACGTAGAGTTCATCGATGCATACATTACCGTCCGTCTCGATTTCGAGTGCGAAGGGGTTCTCCCGTGTACTCATTATCGCTCGTCGTTTAATTATCCGACGCACGCTAGTTCAAGTTACCATCCTACACCTCCGCCGCCCTGTTCGATGGAACAAACGAGCGGATTTAGCGCGCGAGAATACGCGGCTGCCGGAGACCCGCGTTATGGCACGTTCAACGCGTACAATCACGACTTTACTGTATCGTTAATAAACACTGATAGGTTATCGCCTATCTTACGTAACGTTTATTAATTGGCGATATTCCACGTGAAGGGAGTGGAAAACAGGCTACTCCCTACGGATTCCGTTTTATCGCTGGCAAGTGGTTTATAAAAAATAACGTGAGCTAACTAGAGCAAAATGGTGCATTGGCGATACTTAATCCTTTATATGATCTTTTATGTTCACTCATTCATACGGTCTTTTGGATTTATTAAAACATAAATCCGTAATGGCATAAAAATTGCATAATTTGACTTAAAAAAGTTACATTCACCGAGCACATTTTACATCAAAATTTTAATTCATTCTCCATGTTTTTAAAAACCACTTCTCTTTCAAGATTTTTCTGTGTTACATAAAAAAATTAACTTCCTGGTAGGTAAATTCGTGTTTAGACTCGCAAGGATATTACGCTTTCAACTTATTCTATACGAATTTGTAACATATTTAACGGGCAGCGTTTGCAGAAATGAAAATGAGTTTTGCGTCGAAATTTCAGTGAAACGCTGTTTCTTAAAACGGACGTATTTACAACGTTTACTAAAATATGCTTCCCTTTCCCGTGGGCGTTAGAAAACTCGGTCGGTTCCGATCTCGGTTGCTATCGCCAGCTTTTTTAATATTTGAAGACGACGTGGAAAAATTTGACGTCTGTCTCTTGAAATATGCAACCGCCCCCTTTTTCTCCTCTGTTTATTTCCACCGCTTGACAGTCGCTTATCTTAAATCGTTTCTAGATAGTTCTTGATACACACATTTATATGCTATTTGTATGAATATTTTATTAAGCGCAGCAAAATTCAGTACTACGAGGATGTGCAACGATGCACAGACTAGCCTGTACGAGTAGATCTATCAATCAATCTAGTTTTTTATCTACTGTTTTGTAGAATTAAGTACAAAGTATTATAAAAATGGTGTTACTATAAACGTCGTTAAGACTGATCTACTCATATACTTCGTCTGTGGCTGTAGCAATCTAATTAAGGGACAGCCAGTTCATGAATTTTTGTGGATAGTCAGCAAAGAAAAGCTTGAAGTACTCACCTGACTGGGACTGCAGACCGCACCGACGGTAAGACGACAAGGCACCTCGTAAGGGGCATGATGGAGCCGTTGAGGGTGGCAACAAGGATCGTTGCAGTCCTCCTCCCACCCGCAATCACACTCCTCGCTGTCTTCCACCACACCGTTGCCACAGATCGCGTTTTGGGGCTCTGAGAAATCATCGATTTTCCAATTTTACTTCGATCAGCGCCTTCTCTCTTTCAGCGACGCGATAACTTCTCATTATTCAACCCGGTTCTCAAACCTTCGCGGTATAATTTCGCCAAGTTCTTTGCAAAGTTTTTAATCGTCCCGGATAAAACTCTTTTTTACAATCATTTTGATTTCGAATGGAGGCATAGGGTTTGGGAATAAATGTTAATCCGATTCGGACCGCGAGCTTAATGAAATCCAGGATTTAATGACGCTCAACAAGTCAGTCGGGGCGTTGCTGTTTTAATGGAATCAATTGCGACCTCGCGACACGGTTTGTTTTTCCATGGAACGAAGCGATGGCGAACGAACTAACATTGTTCTGTTCCCACCATCGAGCAGCGCTGATTTTCGCCAATTTTCACTCGGGAAAAAAACATGTTACGCGAACGAACGAAAATATGGCGACCCAATTGAACTTGATGGGATAACGTTCGTCTTTCAATCGAAACGAGTATAATTCCTGGCCACAGAAGTTACCTTTATCTGTGTTTAGCTTTATCTGTTTTCCATTAATTCTTTCCCTGAACGCATCATTAACAATTAACGAGTCGTATCTATTCTATTGGTCTTGCGATCATAGGAGCCGACACCGTAAGTGAGCCTACTGTTCTTTCTTATACTGTGGGGGTGCGATGCTCGTTGCCTGAAACGAGTTTCACACGGCCCATGTAGAACCCGCTATTAGAATTGCAATTGAGTTGCAGTTAGAGCTCGGGGGACCAATCGATATTCCGAACCACCGATACGTAGGTACCTGTGACTTCCCCCGCCCCTCTCCTCTTTTTATTCCCGTGAATTTACTAACGCTATGAAAGTGGATTAGGGTCGTTACGTCCTCCTTTTTCGAGTTCCCCAAGAGAACATAATCCCCTTGGATGTAATTTCGTGAAGCGAACGATCTTCCGTGTCTAATTTCAAACGTGGAGATTCACCAAGTATGTAATTAGTAGCTCCTTCGTCGGGCTCTCGTTTTTAATTTTGAATATTCGAGGGGTTCAATTGACGCTGAGATTCAACAGGAAGCGCGTTAACAAGTAATTAAAGTCGGGTTGCCGACAAAGCTGCTTCGGACGGCGATCGTATAAATAATTCAAATAACGATCTTGTATGGCGGTGATCGAGAGGGCAGGTCAAGCCCGGTGACTGTAAGCTAAGCCAGTCGACCTCGTTCCGTAACTAATTAAAATTCCAAAAGCTTCTCCTACTCACCGGCGAAGCATCCCTTGGATGATCGGGCTTTGGCGTTTAGGACGGGATTTATGGAGACCAGACTGCACGGACTGAAACGATTGTTGTTGCGTTTGTCCCCGCTGGTAGCTCTCGCGAACATTATGAAATTCCCGTCCTCACCCCCGGGGGAGCATTCGTCCGGGTCGTGCTGAAAGAAAGTAAAGTGTCCTTTTATTCAGTGAATTATTTGCCATGAATAAACAGCGACGGATCCGGAAAAGAAGCACACAATTAACTCTCGATGCCGACGAGCTCTTCGCCCCCCGTTTCCACTCTCCCGCTCTTTGATTTGATCGCGCGGCTGTTGTCCGGCGCCATTAAATAATCGGGACTCTTCGTCCTCGTGATAATGGCTCGCTTTATAACGCGAGAGTGTTCTAGCTCGATGCAAATGAAATTGCTTTTGTAACACAGCGTACCGAACGGACGAAAATTTTTCAACGGATGTTTGATCTCGCAAGCATTCGCGGAGAACGACAAGTCCGTGCCCGTTTTTCAAATTGCTCGCGTGAGACTTTCCAAACAGTTCGCCGGCCAATTAACTTCTATACATCGAACGAAATTACTTTCGAACCTCTTTCGTGGAAACAAACTCTGATACAAACAACAATCGCGTCCTCGATGCGGCAGTAACCGAACTTTCCGAACGTGTTCGATGTAGCACGCGAAATGCCGCGTTGAACTTACAGGGGATCCAAAGTTGTGACCGATCTCGTGCGCGAGGGTGACGTGAGACACCGTCGGCGGTACGTGTTTTCCGTAGTTCAGGAGGGTGATTATACCGGTGTTCAACGATTTCATGCTGCCCCTGTAGTGCTGCAAGACAGAACAACGTTAGAGTTCTCTCTCGCTTTCATTCTCTCTCTCTCTCTCTGAGGTGTATAATTGTCCGAGTTATCGCGGCCGCAACACGAATGTTATTTTAACCGTCGCGAATTAGCTTACCCCGTTCTTCTCGCAAACTCCGCCGGCATTTTTCAGGTCTCCAGTCCACGCTAATCCCAGTGTGCCCTTCTCGAAATCGCGATACGTGAACATGTACGACAGACAAAAAGCGTCGTAATCTTCCTCTGGAATATTCAAAAGACCATTTTAAGTTTCTATCGCCGAAGACGTGCAGGAATGAAAATTCTCTCCCATGTAAAACGGTTTATTAATATTCTCTCCTCCTCTGGAGTAACGATTTTTCGTGGAAAATTGAGAATACACTTTCTGTTAACGATCTTCGCGAATGCACATTATCGAACGTCGCGCGAGACGATGTTCTCGTCCGGAGGAAGCGACGAACCGACCTTGGGAGAGCCGGTACACGCGATGAACACGCTGGACATCCGTAAACAACCCTTTTTCATTGAAATTCATGCACAGCGTTCATAGAATATTCATCGCTCGTTTTACCCTTCTGTTCCTCTCTCCATTTTTTCCTTTTTTTTTTTATAGAAGTCCCGCGAAAAAAAATTTCGCGAAGGAGAATGAGCGAACAAAAGGGGGAATGGAAACGGGCCGTGGCTACTTCTATTTTTTGCATCTCCCGTTTCATATACCCGACCGCGGAGGACACTGATCCCCAGCGGAGCTAAAAGTTGCTGCGGCATAAAAGTTCCCAGAAATTAAATTACCGGACGTTTCGGACCGGGCTCCTGATTTATTATTTTTCCCGGGGTAACATCTCGGGCGATGTTTGGTTGCGTCGGCTGGGAATTCAATTCATCCCCCATCCCTGAGCCTACTATATATTCGAGCAGATAAAATACTGCCAACGACAACAGGGAAATTAAAAACGAAATTAATTAAAGGGCGAAGGACGCGCGTTCCCCGGCCGGTCGAAAATATCGGTGGGCGAGATGGTCTTGATTGGATGCAACGAATTTACACAGTGCTCTGAATACAGCACGGTCAGGAACCTCGCAGTAATTCCTACGTGACAAATTAATGTCAAAAGGGAACTAATTCGCTCGATCCTATTTTTAACACTGACAGGAATCGTCATACTTCACATCAAATTTAATAAAAACTAATTTATGATATGAGATTCGCCAAGTTTACTGAGAAGCTAAGTTGCACGTCTGAAATAAATATTTGAATAGCTCTAAAAATGTCTCCTTTTGGAATTTATATCTTATATTGATCCCTTCCCACTGATATTCACACGGAAGAATTTTCCATATTTTCAACATACAGGTCAATAACATTTGGCCTCCACCGTAGTAAGTCTGACTATATACTGATCATTACTACTAAGATAGACACTGGAATAACGCGCGTAAAATAAGGAGCGCCTGAGTTATCTGTGGGCGAGACGAGAATGACTCTTTGCGCAATGCTTTTTACAATCTGAACGCGGTGCAGCGAGCTTTTTTCCGCCGTCAGGAGAGAATGGAACGCGGGATACGTGTTTGCGGTGGTGGCGCGTCTCAGGAGGCATATTTGGTTACCGGACGCGGCGCGTTGCTGCCGGCGAATTGCGTCACGGACCGTTGCTGCTCAACCCGTGTTTCTTCGAGCCAGCGTACATCAACTACTGTGCCGCCTAGCCACTCGTCGCGCGACAATTCCGCGCTTCTCTCTCGATTTCAATTCATTAACCATTGAAATGAGATACCGAGGTTGTTCGAAAATTACGTTCTCCAGAACGTAAAAAGTGAACGCGAACCGTTTTTCTTTTGTCAATTTCTCGTTTACCAATTTCAAAGGGGAAAATCGCGTTTGAGAGCGGACAGGCGCGACGACGAGTAGCTCTGTTATTTAATAACGATGGGGCGCTCGGCTGTTATTATGCCCCGGCGAAATATGAACTGAATACTGGAGGTCCGAAGGCGTCGCGGCTCTCTTTTGACGGAGCGCCATTGTGCATCTCGCGACGCGAAACGTTGTTGCATTATCGCGCCGCGAGGAAACAAGTAAAAAAGTGTGGGCCGCGCGAAGTATTGTCCCGCGATTCCGTTCGTATGCAATCTGCATGGAAATGCCAGCATGCATACGTACGTACGTGACGACACGCGTGAGCGGAATTTTTTTTCGTTTGTCGAGGCAACGCAACAGCGAATGGGTATGATTGATTACGCCGAGTCGGATTCAGGCGGTGGGTATTGTTCGATCCGCGCGGTAATCAAGGTTGTTAGAAAATGTTAAAATTTCGTCCATTGTTCCTCTCCTCGATAATTTTCTACGTATGTAGAAATGAAAAGACGGATTCGTTTCCATTTCAGTTGCATATTTTTTTTTAATAATACCTCTCTCCCAATCGTGAAGCGAAATATTTAGGACGCGATACGCTGAATGGATCTTTAGTAATTAAATGTTTTCGGAAATTATTAAACTTCCTATTCAAATATTCAACCTCCCTTGTAACGAGCTATTGTATTTAGAATTGATATTTCAGCATCCAAGGAAAATAGATCGTAAATTTTCTTATTTGCAGAAGTTTGTATATCTTCGTTCAAATAACTTTGTTTAAAATCGTAATCTATTTATTTGATAAAGTAAATACGATTTAGTATTCGATCCTGCAAATTCACGTTTTATTGGCAATGCGAAACAATCTATTCTCTCTCGACATCGTACGACAATATTTGGAAGATTGTCGGGACATGGTTCCTGCCCCATAAGTAGAATAGTGCGCTTATTAGACGAGCAAACACAATAGTAAACCAGCCACGTAGAACAAGTGTGTTTCTAGCCAGACAAATATAACGGGTCCTCTTGCGAGCAGCCAAGTAGAATGTCCCGAATTACGGTTAGGCGAGGAGGCAGATGACGAACAGGTGTATACCTGCCGGCTAGTAGAAGCGAGCTGTTCACGGCCCGACAAATAGTACGGATTAATTTATAAACAATTAGCGAAATAAACCGTCTCCGAATCGACAGTCTAAATTCGATTAGCGTTTCAGCTGGAGTCGATCCGCCGAAACAATATACGAACAGTGCGACAATTCACACTTCAGACGTCGAATCTTTTATTCTGGATAATCGAAAATCGATTGGCCACTAATAAAAATTGAATTGATGCCGCGGCTGCAATCTTGCTTATTAATTATCGCCGGTAACAGTTAACATTTTGGGAGGAAAATCGCGCAATTATCGCAGACAATGCAAATTTCGGACAAACCGGGTGCACGTACATCTATGTGCCACGCGCGACTCCGACGTGCTAATTCATATTAGCGCTTTTAACACAATCGATAACGTCAGCAACATCGATGCGACATAATTATAATATCCATAAATTATCCCGGGGATAATTGAGTACCGATTGAATCGCGCTGCTAAATTTCCATCCGCGAAAGAACGGATGACGCGTACGTTAAAGTATGTAACGGGAGAACGACACCGCGCGGTATAATTATCAGGTCCCGAACAAAATTTGGACAATTAACGAGGTCGCTTTGACAAATTTTACGGCCACTAAAATCACGGAGACCTGTACGCATACAATGCCTTCTATTATGGAGAGTTATGCTCGATAGAAAATATAGACGGTTATATCAAATGCAGATTATACGGGACGATTATTTCTACGGTGAGAAAACTGTTACAGCGCATTGAGAATGAATGAATATAATCAATTTTTGCTTAGAACAGGGGATGAAATAGGTCGGGTACTTACCAGAGAATAATTCGAGAAATTCTTCAACGCCGTACGTGCCGGTGAACCTGTAGCTAGGATCGTTCAAGGCGTCTCCACCGTGAACTTTCACTCTTTTTATCATGAAACTGATGTTGTCCGGCTGCCCGTCCTGATTGAAATCTAAACATTACAATGATTAACGAACTTGTGATCTTAAAAACGTGCTCGGAAATTGAATGTTTTACTGGATTTGAGAGGGTATGCGAAATTCATAGGGGCTGAGAGGAACTACTCGGGCCGAGGTAACCGATAGCTGATAACGAAAATCGTTGGGGTTCTCTGGCCGAGTAATTTTCGGGTACCACCACCCAGTGATCAGCGAGCACGTATCTCCGAACCCCGTCGCGTGGTCGAGAGCATTTAATCAAACACCTTCTCCGCGGGAATACCAATCGAAACTGGAAAAACGGCACCGTGACACGCGATCGCGGTTCCTTTTTGCCGGCGGACTCGTTACCAATCCCATGATTATTCGAGCGTAAAACGAATCCACTGCGAACCGTGGATTCCTTTGATTAAAGTTAGAGTAGAGGTAATGCACAACTGGACGGTAACACGAAACAGACAATTTTATGAAAACTCCGTTCACTACGTCAACTGAAAATGACATAAAAAAGAACATCTCGTTTACTAACAATGAAAAGTATTTCTCGAGTTTGGAATCTCGACAAGCGTCTTTAGCAACATAGTTTCACGAGATTCCCTATTTACCTGAGTAATGTAGCCGCGTTTCCGGGTCGTCGCTACACACGTACGCAGCAAGTACTAACATTTAACACTATGCATCGTTACATCCATATCTGGCGAGTAATGTACGTACCCGGTCCGTAATTAACGGTAAGACCATTGTATCCAAGTTTGATACTACATTAATCAGCTTTGGATTCTCTGTCGGTTACTGCGCTCGTGAATTATTAAATAATGCAGCGGGTATGCTTTGGAGGAAATTCAAGGTAACGGGACTGAAACATTTATAGCGCGCAGCGCTCGCACGACAATTGAGGCATTCGCGTTTGACTAGTCAACCGGTGTATTTCGATTACGTAGACGGAAACAAAGTTCGCACGTGACATTAATTTACAGCGCGACTGGAAGTTGGCACCTGGCGGTAGAAAGTTTCCGGCTGGAAAACTGCTTGGCAGAAGCACCAGTAGAATAAGACTGTCCATGGTCGGACAGTGGCGCGATAAAGGTTGTACAGTAAGTAGAACAAGAATGCGTTTGATCCGGCACGAAAGATAGGGCAGTTACTTTACTTTTCTTCCAAGAAACCGTGAATGGATAAGTTTTATCCGGGACCAAGTGGAATGAATCACTTTGTTGTCGGACACCGGCGGGGTAACTTTGTACCCGGACAAATTTCTAGAACGGGAACTTCTTTTCCTGGGAGAAGTTCAAAAGATGGAATCGTTGCGGCGGGAGACTTATTTCTTAAAGAATATCGCGTAAATGAATGAGCCGCGGCGGCAACCGGCATCCATCATTTTGCGGTCAGACGGACGGTCGCTTATACTTGAACGAACATGGAACACGAAAACTCCTATCTCCGTAGGAAATCTAGGAAACAGTGTCGTTCAGGTATTTTCCTCTTTATTAAAAATAAGATACATGAAAGGGTATTAACTTATTATTAAATAACGATCGTCACGTGAGGCTTGCGTAACAAAGTTTCCAGAGGGGTTCGCGTTCCGATGTCGTAAAAAATTACTCGGCAAACAAATAGCGGGGTAAACGCGTTGCGTGACAGGTGTCTCGGATATGCCGCTCGGAAATAAAGTTTTTTTTATACTCCCCGAGATAAGGATCGTAAACGCCGGCTACCGCTTCCACGCTATAATGACTAACGCGACTTCCACCTTCGCTCTGATACCGCCGACCCAGCCCCGGCGATACTGCCGTTATCGCGGCACCCTTTCCAACCGCAATAAGAAGGACAGAGTTCGTGCGCGCCGGTGCCATTATGCGGCTGCGTTCACGGCACGCCGTTTACGCGGATTCGTAGCACGATTCAAATTTAAATCTTAAACGTTAGCGTGGAGACAATAGTTTGAGCGTGGCGCGGCGGGTAGGTAAATTGCTCGCAAATCGCAAACCGGAGTAAGTAATCGAGGGAGGCACGGGATCGCAAGGGACAAGGGGTGGGCAATCCTTAATCGCGGCAATTCCGGATCCTCTCGTCAGACAATAGCCGAGCGGACTGGGGTTGTACATATCGCGATTGGGGGAACGGAGACACAGACAGAGAGAGGGTTAATGCCGTCTAATCCTGGAACAAAGGTAGATGCGTTCGGGGAGTCGGTCATTTCCGAGGGGGTGGTCGATCGGTCATCCGAAATGCTCGCGTGTAGAGATGCCCGATAATCATGCGGCTATCGTCTCTAAACTGGTATTGTACAGGGTATCATGCTATGTACGAGTTCAACAATTAACTACCCAATATCGATGAAAATCGTAGTACAAATATACCGTGCTTCGTTTGATGAATATTCCTGTCAAAGTAAATTCGTTCATTTTACAGCGTGTAATATTCGTTTTGATACTGAACACGGTGAACTATCCAATGATATTAATTGATGATTCCGTTGAATGCAGAACACAGTGTGTACGTGCATGAAGTAGAACGGAGGCAGAGGAAGACGGAAACGTAGCCGGAAAACCGACTTTATCCGCGGCGGATCGCACGACGGAAGAGATAGCGAATTCTAAGTAATGCACCGACCTGGGAGCGCGTAGGCACGCGGGGGGAGCGGTGGTCACGCTACGTTAAACACGGCTCAGTCACGAGACACAAATATTTGCTCGTTGTTACGGCAGGTGGTGCGCCGTTTAAAGCTAGTACTAGGTTTGCACGAGGAGGTCCGTCGTCGGTGCTACTTAATATTCGCAGCCAGCGCGGTCAAACGAGATTTTCAACAGGCTACGCTGAAGCCTGATTCGCGTACTGCGAGCTTTGTCCCGCGTTTCTGCGTTCAACCGGGTCTATCGATGAGGCCGATTGTTTCTCCCGAGCCGAGCCTGATGACGTAATTGTATTAAATGGCGGATAGTATAATTTGCGCGGACGGTTTCGGCCCCGAGGGACCGAACCGAGGAATGAAGAGAATAGTTGATGAATCGTGAATCCGTGGAGCAGTCGGCGATAAATGGATTCGGCTAAGGAGATAATATTCTGTTTCTGAAGCAGGTTTTTCCTCTTTGGAGTACGCTCCCCGAGGATGGTGCTCCATCTTGACTCGAAAGGAAAGTAATTTCAGTCAGGTGCTCCCTTTTCTCCGATTTCTCTTTCCCCGTTGCTGATAACCATCGTTTAAAGTTTACGCGTGGATGTCTCGAGGCGAACGCGTGGGCCGCGGTCAGAAATAAAGTTTCCCGCGGAATCAATCGGTCAACGTCAGACACAGAAACTGACATTAATCGGTCGCAGCTTAGAAAGGAACCGCGGCGAGGCTAAAGGAACATTCATTTCCCCCGATCACCGCTGCCGCGCAGAAAGTTAGTTTAACTGTGGAAGGTCCGGGGAGGAAAGTTTTAATTGGTTTGCGAAGTTATTACAGCGGAATGAGACAGAAGACGCGCACTTGTTAGTTCGTGGATAGGGGAACGTAGCCGATTGCTACGCCTCGAGGGAGCACCGAAGGAATTTTCATTGCTATCCGCCGGTATACTTCATACGGCCGGCGTTTATAGAGATGCCATTCCTTCGCGATGATTTATTGCTAACGTGCGGAATCAATTTTCAATCGTACGGGAAATGGTACACTGCCACGCGGACTCACCTGTGTACCTGTATATAGAGTTGACACGTTGCACGTGACGCGTCATCACTTCGATGCAAGCTTCCTCCGACTTGTAATGATCGAAGAACGTGTGGTCCGCTTGCAGATACATCATACAAGTGGTCTTCTTCGGGTCCACCGACGTTCGTTTCCGGAGCACTTTCGAATATCTTTCCCTGTACAATCTGAAATAATTTCCTCGGATATTCTCACGTTCAATTCGCGATTAATTCTTAATTTGAAACGTTGCCGCTCGTGCGGTATCAAAGGAGAGACGCGAATTCCGCTCGCGGATGCAGAAATTAAATATTTCGAATTCCATAACTCGTCGAGGTATCGAGATAACGAGTTTATCGGCTTCAAAGGCGTGCTTGAAATTTCCAATTTTTTACCGCGCGCTCGCTAAACTGAAAAAAAAAACCCGATTCTCGAGTTTACGTGCAACAAATCAAATCTCGAGGAGAGCCCCGACCGCGGAGAGCGTCCGATAAGGATAACTCGACCGCGGTAACTGGTTAAATTGGGGATCGGATCGATAATGTCTAGTGTTTGCCCTCGATTTTTTGACGTTTTCATCACTGCGCGCCGCTTCGATGGAATCGGATAACCTGGCTTTTCTCTACCCAGGAAATGGATGTGCTCTTTAAACGGAGAGCCGCACGGTAAACAGATTCCGGTTGGAAATCGTCGGGACGATAAGTAAGTAACCCGTTGCGCTTTTCTGGCCAGTTTCTTAGTCGGCCATGGCTTTTAGCCGACTACTAGAATATTTCATCGACCGGTCGCCATGCGAGGCGGGTATGGGGTCGCGTTCTTCAAAAGGAGAGGAAGAAAAGTCGATGGGGAAACGGTGATCAAGAACGAACGATCGTGTAAAACTTTTATAAGTTGTACAACTTTTTATGTTTTAGAAGTTCCGATCGCTCGGGCGAGGAGGGAGAGAAGGGGAGGAGTGAAAAAGGATTTCAATTAGTTGCCCCGTTCTTTTAACATGCCTTCTTAGTCTAGACAAGAATGGAACGAGACGGCTTGTCGCCACTACCCGTGAAATCGTTCTTTCGTGAATCTCGCCGGGACCCTTTCGAAACTTTTCCGTATTAAATTATCGGTGTAAAAATTGTTAACGAGACATATATTTTTTGTTAGAAGGTGTTTACCTGTCGAGTAACTCCAAGTTGTGCGAGCTCGCCAAGGGTTCCTTCTTCCTGGCGTCCTTCGGATAGAATCCCGGCTTGGGAACGTCGGATTTCCCCTCGTCCAGATGTTGATAAAGCGGTCGCATTGTGTCTCCGAGATATCCACTCCACGTCCTATTCGTTCTGCGAACGATTTTTCGTCGTTAAACGATTGGAAAACTACAGCGCGTCGCGAACGGCCGGAGTGAATCCCTTATGGCGAACCGATCAGCTCTCGCGTCGGGGCCGGGATAAACGAGAGAAATCGTCGAGGGGTGCGACTCGAAGGAGATAAGGGTGACATATGTCGCGTAATACGTAACAGCCAACTGGAAGCCAATTTACTTGTATAATCTCGAATTCGCCTCGCCGAACGGAATCGCAGCGAAAATTGCTTAACTGTTTTCTATTTCCCCCTTTTTTTTTGTACAAAACTTTGTAGGTTTTGCATTTAAGAGTTTCGTCTACACAGGTACAGTTTCCGTATCGGGTTCGTTTAATTCCTCGTGTCGCGCGTGACGCGGTTTCGGAAATTCGAAACAAGCTGCTTTGAAAGCGTTCGGAGGTTGCGCCAGCCCATTTTCGACGGGTCCAATGTAAAATAGAAAAGACAGGCTGTTGCTCGACGATGCTCAGCGAGATTACATCGAATTCTTTTCACCACTGCTGACCCGAATAACCAATGAGCGCCGCGCGCGATTTTATCCGCTGGCCAAGTGTCCGGATTTGCAAAAATCACGATCAAACTGTTACATGTCGTATCAATACAATTAATCAGACTAAATTTAGAACGCTACTTAATTATATCAGTTTGCCTTATCATTAGTTAAAGTCAGAAGCTAAATCGACATCAGCAAATCCTGCCTTAATTGGAATCTGAAATATCTATTGCATTCCATATTCCACAAAATCCCTCACAAGCCCTTTGAATTCTGTTCATACCTAAATGACATCGGCTGATGACTGCTGATTCATTATGGCACGAAATATTTCAACGAAATAGACGTATCTATTAATAGATAATTATCCCCGCAACTATTTGGGCCTGAAACTGATAAAATTAGAAAACGCTATTTCCTGGCACAGTTGACCATCTCTGGAGCGGCATTCGAAATTCTATTAAACCGGTCGATGGATGTTAAGCCGGCGCGGATCGATATTAAGTTCGTAGCCGGGAATATTGAACGTGTTAGATCATACGGGACGATATTATACATCCAAATTGCATGCTAAGCTCTCTCTGTCTCAGAAGCGATACGAGAGGATAACTTTGGCTTCGGAACATTAGATTCAATTTGGCTCGTGTATTATTCAAAAGGGCAGAGGGCTGCAATTTGTCTTCCTTCTTAAGTTAATATATTATGTATGCACATTATACGCATTAATACATCGCTTTACGGTTGAGCGAACTTGGGGTTAATTAACTTTCCATACAGAATTGTACTTTTATCGATAAGGAGCCACGCGGTAGTAACTGGGTTTAGGTATACGCGGCCACGGCTTGTACATAGAATCATTCGAAAGAACGGAGGACGAGTGCATTAAGAGATTCAATTCGGTTTTCATCCGATTAGATGGACTTAACACTTTAACTCGTTTTTCATGTACCACTGGACAACACTACGAGCTCACTCCGGATACTATTACTTCTGATAATTGGGTTAAAAGCAAACGGGAGTTCGAGACCGTGTTTACCTTAATTCGTTTAACGTGTTCTCCCGCAAAAGCTCGCTCGCGCACGGATGACTATCCCGCGGTGGAAAGCTCACGTCCGCCGACCGATACGCGATCGTGTGATGATGCATCGCGTCCGTCGTGTCTCTATCGTCACCATCTTGTCGTTGGCATACGAGGGGAGCGTATCTGCTGACCGGCTCGATGTAAATCTCGTCCGACGCCGTGAAAATCGTCCCGTCGAACAGACCCTCCTCCGTCACGATCCCGTGCACCGTCGAATTCTCGTCGTCTGCAAAGAAAATAAATCGAAATCGAATTTAGTCGAAAGCTATTTATATTATTTATTTATTCTACCTATTCTTATCTATCTTATTTTTATCTTATTTTTATCTATTCCAAGATAATGAGAATACAAATCTGTCTTTTAACAGACGTATCAGTTGGTATAAATGTTTTCCACGTATTTTATCTGAAGGAAAAGCAAGTTTACTGATAAACCGATACAGTAATAAAATACATTGTTAGGTGGAATTAAATTTACAATTCTTTTTTAGTATTAGCCACGCGTCCGGAATGTTTTCTACGATAAGAGAAAGAGAGAAAGGAAAAATCTTATTTTTCCATTTCTTTGAATTCTCCGGGTGAACGAAGAATGCGATCAGCGCTGGGTACGCGTCAGTATGCACCACGAGTCACTTTGACCATCTTTTCCTCGAACGGTGCTACCTACTGCGTCTCGTAAATTGTAAGATTTACGCGTGAAAGAAATCGCGCATCCCCCGGTATCAACGTTTATATCACGTACCTCGGACCCAGCAACCGTGAATTTATATTCGGTTGATTCGTCCGCATCATCATAACGCATATCTGATCGATAATGCAGCGACGGGCGCCGAATCTGCGATTCGTTTCACGCGGTCTTTTCCTCTTTTCCAATCGCTTCATACGGCCAAACATCGCGGATGCGAATGAAACGATTTTCAAGCAAACCAGAGACGCGGTCCTCGTTGCAAAAATTGAAGTGTTCCCAGAGTATCGTCGGTTATTTATGCGAATGTTCAAACAGCATGCACGAACGTTTCTGCTTCTGTACTCTATCACACGCGCTCGCTCCGTTCAATATTTAATTGCTGTTTAATGTTGAGATTAAACGTCCACCTGCGTGAATTATTCATCGTCCGATATTTACCTACTAGGCGTCCAATGCGGTCAGAGAGCGATTCTCGTGCGCACACAAGGACAGTTTAATGTACAAAAAGGAGAAGTATTTCATTAAATTCATCGCGACAAATCCTGAATATTTCCCTTCCGTTCTTTCCCAGACGATAAAATTCATGTTAACTTTGCTATTTCGTTTATTATACGTTATTTATTTAAATGTATACTATATTGTACGCGGTGTTCAGAGGTCGATCGAGCTTTTCGCTGGACACGCAGGATTTTCCGCATGTGCGCGGAGCATTCGAGCGCGTGATCGAATTTTTAATGCCCGAACACCGCAACGTCTTTCGAATTACGAACAATCGATTAAATTCGCGCAAAATGAAATCGAACCAGACCCTTTCTCTCCCCTTTTTCATCGAAGCCCCGTTGTTTCCACCTAACGAAACGGAAAACCCGGAATATGTCGATTACCCTCCACTTAGGTTAATTAATTACCATGTATAGTATGTACAAATACGCGAAATTCTATGGATCAACACTCCGTAATAACGAACAATATTGAATTCTCCTGTATTTGGTGATACTGGTTTGCTATATTATGTATGAAGTTTCCTTATTTAATGTATTCACTGTATAATACACGGGTGCAAATACAATCTTAATGTGAATCATGCAATCATGCATGTAATTATGATAATATTAGATAATATATTATAATAGGATTAAGTTATGACATATTAATAATTAACGTCTTGCGCTTTGGTGGATGTTATTCTAACGAATAATTACAACAGTACTCATTTTTAAGTTGCATTATTCTGATAAATAAGATATTAAAGTTTTGAGTTGTTTCCATTTCATCGAGTGCAACATTAAACACATGAAAGTTTCTTTCGCCCCGCACTATCTTAAGAACAATGCTAGCATGTTGAATTTATT